CCTCACGCTTGGTACAAGTCAAAACAAGAATTAAACTGTCCCACACGGAGAGCCTGTTCATGTTCATGTTCTGACATGCATATTGTACACAAGCTATAGAACCATAAAATACTCCATAATCCATATGCTTACATGAGATTAGTTAATATCAAGTGAATAATTCTAATCAAGTCTCATTAATTTGTTGAAATACTGATATTTGAAACTTTAAGGTATAATTGATGTAGGTGAGGGTTATTTCAATTCATTTTTGTTTGCTAATCTCAAGTTTAGACATAAAGAGGCACAATATTTTGACTACCAAATTTTATTTTTAACATGTTGACAAAATTGACACACCCTAGTGGGTAACACCAGTGAGGTGTAGTGGTGTAGTGGGCTATACGAGTAAGATGTAGTGGAGTAGTGGATAATACCACAAGTGGGAGAGAGGAGTTATTATAAGGGTGAAGGGGACAGGAGGGAGACAACACAGAGCTTGGAACTGTTGTGGCCATCACGCTGAAGTGTTTTAAGAGGACAAACAAAGACAAATTTTTTATGGTAGGTGACAAATGTGATCACAATAGACTCAAGGAACCATATTAGTACACTTCTGTTATGTAGTTACAGCCGATACTTTCCCCACAACCACAATGAATTCCTTTGGTCGCGTACCTGAAAATATCGTGGAAAATTTTTGAAATATCTACCAACGATGAGGAGTATTACAAGCTGAGTGAAGCAAAAGTTGAACTTACGTTGCGTGAGTCTACAAGGGTGTGGTTGCGGAACAGACTAGCAAGAGATTAACTTTAATCTAGAGAAGACGAGCGCTTTCACCTGTAGGAGCAGGACGGTCCAGGATATTAAGAGTAATGATCTCCCCAGTAACCTTCTCAGTGGCAGCAGTCATGGCCGTGGCCACACGCATGGCTCACACTGTACGTTTAGGGACATACAAGTTCCGCAGGTCTTCCGTGACAGTGTCAACAACACACATGACTTCCCCTGACAGTCCAGTTCCTTTGTTAGGCAGAAAAAAACAAGAGGTGAACGGGTGGCATAAAACAAGAGGTGAACGGGTGGCATAAAACAAGAGGTGAACGGGTGGCATAAAACAAGAGGTGAACGGGTGGCATAAAACAAGAGGTGAACGGGTGGCATAAACAAAATTAAAGAAGGAACGGGTGGCAAAAAAAGGGTGAACGGGTGGCATAAAACAAGAGGTGAACGGGTGGCATAAAACAAGAGGTGGGCGGTGAACGGGTGCCATAAAACGAGGGGTGGGCGGTAAACGGATGGCATAAAACAAGAGGTGAACGGGTGGTATAAAACAAGAGGTGAACGGGTGGCATAAAACAAGAGGTGGGTGGTAAACGGGCGGCATTAAACAGGAGGTGGGCGGTGAACGCGTGACAGAAACAGTCCCTTCGGGATGACCTTGTTGAACTGTGAGGTGCGGTGAGTCAGGCAGCAGTAAACGTGAGGTAAACACCGTGAGACTCCAGCTCGTGCCTGACGACTTTATGTTCGTGTTTATGAGAGATAATCTTACCCACCACGACCACGGTTATGAAGAAGAACGAAAAGGAAAGTGTAACATAATACTGGTGATAGTCTCTCCAGGGGTGAATATAAGGAGATGGTAGTGTAAAGTGTAACATAATACTGGTGATAGTCTCTCCAGAGGTGAATATAAGGCGATGGTAGTGTAAAGTGCGGTACTTAAGTCAAACTCCAGAGCACGGGTCAGCGAGGCAACACAATGGGGTAGTGTACACTGTACAGTACATTCTCGTTCAAGATTCTTCGAACACTGCTGGAGACAGCTGGCAACTCAAGGCCGTTTGTTTACTATAGTATGTAGTATAATATAATACGAAACAACAGAGCCCAACCATTAAATTAAGCAACGGGAACTAAGTAACCAATCACTTTTACATTTACTCAATTTTTACTACGTACTATAGTAAACAAACGGCCTTGAGTTGCAAGCTGTCTCCAATAGTGTTCGAAAAATCTTGAACGAGACTACAAAGATTTATAAGGCTACCAGAATGAGGTACTTTGGGCTCTGAATATCATGTACGGTCTCTCACAGTCTTAAGTTGATATTGATATTGATAGTTTATTTGGCGAGAAAAATATAGATACAGAGTGGATAATAATAACAATATTAACATAGCTGAGCCAGTTGAAAGCCTGAACTCTGGTACATTATCTCAAGGAAGTATTATGTAACATTTAGTATCATCTGGAATAGTACACGTAACATGGTGGTAGTAAGAACATATCAGAATGTTACCACGGTTATCACTTCGTTATTTATTTATTTAATTTTCTTCATTTATTTTTTTACATTTCTAATAGAATATATATATATATATATATATATATATATATATATATATATATATATATATATATATATATATATATATATATATATATATATATATATATATATATATATATATATATATATATATACATATTTTTCCGAGGAGTTGATATCAGGTTGTATTAAGATGGAACAAGAGGACAGAAGCTATCAGTATCATATCTTGTCAGCAAATACAGTATAATTATTGCAATGGTAATTTCTATCTATCTACATGGCAATTTCTGATATAATGGTTTTGGTGGTACAATAAAGGTAGGAATATATAGTAGGTATTACAAAAATATTAATACTTAGGCAATAGATATTATTTTAGAGGTGATTTAAATGAAGGGAGCTTAGTCTTTGCTCGGATGGGTGCGGTTAAGTTGGGCGGGGGCTAAGACTAACAGTATATGGTAGAGTCAACATTAAGAGGTAATATTTAAAGGTATCCTCGACTATCAGAGAGAATAACCTAAAGTAATTGCATCGTACACGAAATTTGTTTTACACTTTCTATAATTTACTTAACTGTAGTATATAATGTCACTTCCTCCCTCACACAGTGACAGGTGTGTTATGTACCTCAACGCTTCCCCCAGTTAACGAGAACAATTCACAATCCTCCTCTTATTGTCACGTCTGACCTGTACATGTAAGAATTTCATAAATTTGTGACTTACCTTTGATCATTGTCTTGAGTGACAAGTCTTACAAAGCTGTCATTACAAGTGGCTGTCAGTCCACGTCAAGCGGGACCAGTTAACTTATTTTAAGTGTCCCCCAGTGGCCGTATATTCTGAGTAAATCACTGAACTAAAAGATTACAAACTATAAAAAAAAAATAATGGCTGCCTTTGCCTGTAAATAATACTACCAGCCATAATGTGACGCATCACGCCTTTTCTTCAATTTTAAAGTTTTGCGCTGCTCACACGGTGGCGATAAAACTTACACAATTTCTATTGGTCTTATAGTGGCCACCGGCTCCAATAATGGCCACAATGATCATATAGTGGCCACAGAGAACATATTTTTGGCCACTAGGATCGTACAATGGCCACAGGGCTCCTATAGTGGCCACGGGGCCCCTATACTGGCTACAGGCATCATTTTTTTTACGGGGATTAGCCCACCCGGGCACAGGTCACTGACCCACATCGGGGACTAGGGGGCGAAATAATAATAATGATAATGATAATAATAATAATAATAACAATAACAATAACAATAACAATAACAATAACAATAATAATAATAATAATAATAATAATAATAATAATAATAATAATAATAATAATTAATAAAATAAATAAATAAAAATATAAATAACGAAATAATAATGAAAATATTAATAATAATAAATAAAAACAAAAGAGATCAAGAGTGAGAAACAATATATGTTGTGTTGTCAAAGTAAGAGAAACAATTGAAACCCTGCAATTATGTGTAAATGAGGGAGAAAGTCAGATCAGCAACCTGGGACTTGGTCACAACTTTTGTGGTGCCATATGGCAGCAGGGTCTATCATTAGACAACACATTATGCTTCCAATATAGTGGCCAAATGGATCATATATTGCCCACAGGGTCAGTAAGTAGTTACAGGTCATATAGTGGCCACGGGATTCACGCGTTGGCCACAGGGGTTATTAGGGGGTACAGTACACACAATGGTCGCGAGACTCACAAGGGACACAAGATACAACAGTGGCCACAGGGTCTCACAATGCCACAGGAGAGAGCACCCAGGCAGGAACACAAATATCTTGCCTGCAGTATTGACGACGGCTGTTCTATTATACTGCTGATGGAAAGAGCGGCTTCCTGGCGGCGCCCTGGAAGACGCCCAACAAAAGGCCCTCCGTCACCACCTCCGTCAAGGAACTCCACCACCAACACTACCACCACTCCATCACCACCCACGTCACCATCACTCCACCACCACTCATAACTCACACTACAAGCACTTAACAACCCCACTTAGACGATTACCCCAAGTCAAGATTTCTTAAGTAAAATAGACAAATAACAGAGTATATCATTGAATACTGTCATTTATCAAGTCTCTCTCTTAACAGTGGTTTAATTAGTCTCAGTAGTAATTGAATGATGTGGACTCAAGAATTAAATTTCATTTGAACGATGTCTAATGAAAAAATAACCTCAGTGTGGCGTTTCCGGATTCGACTGCGGTAAAATACTCTTCGTAAGAACCATCGCTCGTATATTTTCAGATTTATTTAATAGCTTGTTCTTTTTCCTTAGCGTTTCTGTGTAATGACTAGAATCGACAGATGAGACAGATGTATAACTTAATTAAAACTGACGACATTTTAAAATAGTTATATACACTGAGTTTATTAAAAAGTATATTTATTAGCATAAAAAGTGTGAGATGGTGCAAAAGTAGAGGTATAAGGGTGTAAAAGTAAATATTTGAGGGTGTAACTGTAAATATATGAGGGTGCAACTGTAAATATATGAGGGTGTAAAAGTAAACATGAGGGTGTAACTGTAAATGTATGAGGGTGTAACTGTAAATGAATCATAATGTAAACACAAATGTATAAAAGCGATGTAAAGTTGAATATATGAAAGCGTAACACTAAGTGAAAGTTGTGAGTGAGGAACAAATGGAAGGAGGTATTAAGAGGCCAGGAGGAGGTCACAAAAGGCTAGGAGGAGGTCACAAGAGGCTAGGAGGAGGTCAAAAGAGGCCAGGAGGTGGTCACAAGAGGCCAGGAGGAGGTCACAAGAGGCCAGGAGGAGGTCACAAGAGGCCAGGAGGAGGTCACAAGAGGCCAGGAGGAGGTTGCGAGAGGCCAGAAGGAGGTCGAGAGAGGCCAGAAGGATGTCGTGAGAGGCCAGAAGGAGGTCGCAAGAGGCCAGAAGGAGGTCGCAAGAGGCCAGAAGGAGGTCGCAAGAGGCCAGGAGGAGGTCGCAAGAGGCCAGGGGGAGGTCGCAAGGGGGCCAGAAGGAGGAGGTCACTAAGAGGCCAGGGGGAAGTCGCAAGAGGCCAGGGGGAAGTCGCAAGAGGCCAGGGGGAGGTCGCAAGAGGCCAGGGGGAGGTAGCAAGAAGCCAGGAGGAGGTCGCAAGAGGCCAGGAGGAGGTCGTTTATCATCGTGGAGATTATTTTCATCCCTGACACTCTAGAAAAACCTTGCTTAATTACTCTCAGCATGATGGAAGGCTCTGCTCGACGCGGCCCTTATTAGTACACTCTTGATTAGACTTCACCTGATATAAGACTTCTCCTATTAGTAAGACTTCACCCAATATATGACCTTCTCACCTGGTTATTAAGACTTTTCCCTGGTTATTAAGAATTTACTCAGCTATTAAGACTTCCCCTGATATAAGACTTCTACTTAATAATACTTCACCTTGTTATTAAGACTTTTCCTAATATAACACTTCTCTTATCTAATAAGACTTCACCTGATATAAAACTTCGCCTGGTTATTAAGACTTCCTCTAATATAAGACTTCTATTTAATAAGCTTTTACCATGTTATTAAGACTTACCCTGACTTCCTATTTAATAAGTCTTCCCTTCCTATAAGACTTTTTCTGTTTTTAAGACTTCACCTGATATATTCCGTGCTTTTATAATTACCACTACCATTATGTAAAAGAGGAACCTCACCTTACACTAATTAACCTGCCTGACCCTTACCTGTGGCGTTCAACTGGCATAAAGTAGATATATTCCTACGTGTTGCTATCTATTGCGCCACCCGACCAAACATGATAGACGTTAACCATCATACAAAATTAGGACAAGGTACAGTTAATTATTACGTAAGACAAGACCAGGAAATTACCTTAAGTTACCCCACGTCCTCGTAATGTCGTGAACCTGTAAACATTCACAGTATATCTTTGGTGCGAGTGAATGTTGAGGTTTATGTGGCGACTGTGAACGACCAACACATGAATAAATTGCGTCTATTATGAATAAATTTATATGAAGTTATGATAGGCGAGGTGAGGTGAGGATAGGCGAGGCGAGATGAGGATAGGCGAGGCAAGGCTAGGTGAAGTGAAGTGAGGTGAGGTGAGTAAGGGCGAGGTACACTGCCCACCTCGTTTCACTTCTCCCTCGTGAATTTATTGCTCAATCTCTCATGATTTTGTGTTGTTGAAGAGGAAAGAACTAAGAGGCGGCAGTGTGTCTACGTTATGTCTTAGGGAGAGAGAGGTAAGGCAATTATCACCTGTAATGAACTTAATAAACTCAGGTGTTGATTTATACGATGCCTTTGTTCATATATGTCCAGCTGGGGTAAGTTATGGGCGTATTTTAATCATCGTGTATGATAGTGCTAAGACCTTTAAGATGTACCACACAGTAAGTCTTTGAAAATATGAAATAAACGTGTGGGCAACCAGACCTAACCACTTAACATTAATATACTAATTCTGTATCAACAACAGAGATAATCTAGGTAAATACACCAACTGAATCTTAAGGTCACGTTATTACTGAGAACACTACCTCACACTGATATTTCTCACTGACGAAGCTCTCTCTCACTACAGTATACGTCTCCTCCAACTTCTCCCAAACTCTCAACACATTTATTTATATAGTAATCTCTCATTTAAGACAGTTATTCAAATTTTCCCCTTGTAACGTCTCTTATCCCGCAACACACCATACAGCAGGTGCTCCTCTACTTAGAACGTTCAACATACAAACTTTCAGAGATACAAACATCATCACTGAGGGGGGTTACCTGCCAGAACAGGTGTTTAATGTGGATGAGACTGGATTATTTTGAAGAAAATTCCAGATAGAACAAACATTATCTAAGAGGAGAAGGGTGAGCCAGGTTTTAAGGATGTATTAAAGGGTATGGCTGTACTACATATCCAGAATCTTTTAATTTTTTACAATATGTTTGATATCTACAAGAGTAAAGTCGGACTTACAAACAAGCCTCAGGAACGGAACTCGTTCGAGTAGAGGAACACCTGTACTACCATCTCTCTCACCTTCACCTCTCAACACACTATACAGTACTACCATCTCTCTCACCTTCACCTCACAACACACTATACAGTACTACCATCTCTTTCACCTTCACCTCACAACACACTATACAGTACTACCATCTCTCTCATCTTCACCTCTCAACACACTATACAGTACTACCATCTCTCACCTTCACCTCACAACACACTATACAGTACTACCATCTCTCTCACCTTCAACCCCCCAACACACTATACAGTACTACCATCTCTCTCACCTTCATCTCACAACACACTAGACAGTACTACCATCTCTCTCACCTTCAACCTCTCCACACACTTTGTTCACTGTCCCTTACCACATCTCCCCTCCCTCTCCACACCGTTAGAGACAGTATAGATACAGCACACTGTATACGAAGCCTTCGGTACACAAGGAGGCAGCATAGCCGGTATTATACTCGACCACATTCACTTCCCCAATAGAAAGAGGAAAATGGCGTAAAGAAACTTGCCCATAGTTTCACCCTGCCTGGGGATCAAACTTGGGACCACTCGCATGCTGATCACCATACATACATACATACATACATACATACATACATACATACATACATACACGCACGCACGCACGCACACATACATACATACATACATACATACATAATGGTTGCCCCTCGTGTAACGAGGATGGCCGGCCCAAGGGCCACCTAGGTGTGAATTTGTTTAAGGTGTAGAAGCTGTCGCCAACACAAAAACCGCACCCTGAGTTTACGAGTTGCATGACCCAGTGTCAAGGAATAGTCCGACAAGACCGGACAACTCCCCAACTTGGCTAACCATTATCCCGGAATAAGATCCGTAAATCTCTTAACATCCAGGTCCCCATTTACTGCTGGGTAGACAGAGGCAAACGGCGTAAAGAAATTTGTCCATAGTTTCACCCTGCCCGGGGATCGAACCCAGAGCATGCATTACCAACGTATCAACGTATCTGGTAGGAAAAATTTCCCCAATATCGTAGAGACACACGGAGATAGTACCACAACTTACCCATGACGAGTATGAGGTTGAAGGAGGGAATGTAATCGAAAGTTTGTACGTCATAATTTGGAGGAGGACCTTCAACTCTTCCCTGTCCTGCTTCTACTCCTCCTCTTCCTCCTTTAGGTAACTTCTCTTCTCCCGCTCTTACTGTATTGTTTTCCTATCATACACCATATCTTTCTCTCTCATCAAATCTCTCCCTCTTCCAACCCTCACCTAACCACCCCCTCCCTTAACCATCACCCAACCACTTCATTCTCCTAATCCTCAGCCATCCACCTCCCTCTATCCTAACCATCCCCGCTCCCATCCTTCACCCAACCACCCCTTCTCTCAACCACCTCATCTCCTAAGCACCACCCCACTCCTAACCACTCCCTTCCTCTCTCCCATTCCACACCCAACCACCCCCTCCCAACCACCCCCTCCCCAACTACCCCATCTCCCATCCACCACTTCTATACCATCCCCCACCAAACCACCCCAATACCCCACCATCCCTCACCAATCCACCGCCTCTCTCCCTCACAGCTTCTCACTCTCATAGACCTACAATCTTCTCCATATAAAAGTTTCCACGTCTCGCCAGAATTTATTTACCAAGGGAAAAAAAAAATTCTTCACCCTCTCTGTACCTCAGGGAACAATAACCGACGTAGCTACTGAGAGAGTCACCGCTGTTAAATTTACCAGAAAAAAACAACAGAGGAAAGCCAATGTTGTCAAGAAGATGTTTTCCGTGTGTAAACTTGGCAGGAAAACAAACACACAAGAAGGTGTTCCGTGTCAATATGTCAAGAAATAATGTCAAGTGTTAAGGTGCTTGAAATATTTCCCTGCTCTATTTGCTAACAATTTTACCGGAAATAATAGAAATATTAAAACACTAAAAATAAAAAGATTAGATAAGGGTCATAATCATAAGATATATTGCCATAATTTACATAAATATCGGTACATATTAACAAGCGGAATAAATGATTATTACACGTAGTTACATTAACACATAAAACTTACAGGTAAAATACAGGTAAACCTCGACAACTTTCCAATTCCAACAAATACCTCTAATACATATCCTTTTAAAATTTGGTCTATCAATTTCGATGACCAGTAACACCCAATAACATTCACTAAAGCTACAACACTATGACTCAACAGTTCAGCTTCAGGAACATATTACCATGAGGATTATTGTAAAATACTGCAAACTACAATTACTGAAACGTGCTGTCGCAACCATATTGGTGAAATATTTGTGTCTCTCTGTTGTCGAATTGTAAAAATAAAATACAACACTTGAGCGTGATGACACAATAATCTCTGCCGATTATACTGTAACATCGTGTGTGTGAAAATTATAACATATTTTAGTACCGTGTTATGAGCTTATGGTACAACAAAATAATACTGTGCTATGAGCCTTCGACACAACATTCTACTACCGTGTTATGAGCTTACGACACAGTATTCTAGTGTGCTATGAGTCTGTGCCACTACAAACGCCTCGAACACAGAAATTTAAACGTCTCGAGCGCTGACACTTACGTCTTAGACGAGGGGAATTAAACGTCTGCCGGGTGTCTACGCTTCTGACCCATACAAGAGTACTCATTATGTGCTGAATAAAAAATATATATAAATATTAAAAAAACGAAAATTAAAGAAAATTTCCCTAATAAAAATAATGTCCTTAAAAAAAATCTTGAAGACTATTAAATAAAAAGTTCGTTTGTTCTGTTCTGTTTTTAACTTTTTCACATAAACCACCGCTGGTTTTATTACTTCCCATGAACACCAAAACTGTCCACCTATATCACCTGCCTTTTGCCTCCCATAATCATTACTCTAGGAGTTATCTTCAACATGGAAGCAACCATTACCTCGTCTTACCAACATTAACTCAACTAATATTCTTATTTTTTTTACTAATGTACTCCATAGTTTTAACATTACTTCTATACTACCGAAATAAAGTCCAGAGATATTAAAGTAATTCTTATTATTATTATACATTCGTACCTTTACTGTTTTTATTGAAGTTAATTATTCTAATTTTCGTCACAATAATATAGAAGTAATGTTGTGTCTTCTGGACGTAAACACCGATAATGTAAGCTT